ATTCATTATAGTGTGCCAGACTGTGAAGCGGCGAGAAGTTGGTGGGGGTCGCTGGGGAGTCCATTGCCTCTGGTTTTGAGGGGGAGATTATGATCCAGGAACGGTGCACTATGGTGAGTTGTGTTGTGCGAGGGGTAATGTCACAGTTCCTTTCCGAGGTACCGTGGTGGTACTAAGGCGCGTGGTGACATGTTGTGGGATTGTGTCTTGTGGGTACAGTGGTACACCTCTGATCAGAGTAAAACTATTCGAATAGCCGTACCCGCGGTTATGGGTGAGTTGAGCAATGTTTTTCGTGATTAGTCCCATATTATTCATTAATGGTAATTGTGATAATTAATTTGACTCCTGGTTTAGAATGGTATATTCCTGGTATGGAGGTTTGATTTGTACAACCGGGGTTGGTTGTTCAAATGAGGTTGGGACTATACAACATGGGTGTGTTGTATGGTGTTATTTAGTTTTGATTAATTACTCAACTGTTTTACTATTCTCTTAAATATTTGTTAAATGCTGTTTATGCAAATGAGCTATATTATGCCATCCTTTGTTATCCTGTGCACTTGCATATTTGCTGTGTGGCTTGTTGAGTATGTCATATGCTCATTCTTGCAATATTCAATCATCAGAAGAGGAGTATCTCAGCGAAGGTGATGATCTGGAGGATTAAGTTTGTTCTAGTTAAGATGTCTGTGGAGTGGAGTCGCCATAGCTGTTCCGCAGTTTGTTTTAGTTTTATTTTTCCGCTGCGTAGAAAGTTATTCTTTGAGAGAAACTATCTACCTCTGTAATGATTTATTATTTGTGAATATTAAATAGTTATTTATTTGTACTCTATTATCAATTTGTTATTGTGTGCCTCGGCTGATTCCTGGACGAGGGTTTAACACACATGTAAGCGTTCGGAATTTTGGATAGAAATTCCGGGCGTGACATCAGGTCCCAAAATTGAAGATTCGGTAACTGACATGTTTAAACTGTATCAAGCCCTGGATCAGTAGATTGATACAGGTTCAACAATCTGAATCTTCATCGCATACATTTGATCAAGGCTCCAAAGGTGATTTCTTTACATAAAATAATAGGGTATTTACAAGATTGTGGCTATCTATTACTGTAGAAGCTATAGGATGAGCCAACTCTAATGTTTTGCTATAGAATTAAACCATCTATCTAATCTATAATTGGGAACTAAGTTGGAATGAAACTAATTTATATGTTTAAACTCATGGTTCGGCAAAAACTCCAAATTGATTCTCAAAGAGAGGGTTAAAGCAATGGTGAGTACAACATACTCATCAAGCTATTATATCAAGTAATGAATGCATGAAATAGTAATCTCTGAGTAGGGTTTAGGACTTACCCTAAACCCTATACAAAAAGGTCCATGGGCATTAGGTGAATTGCGTTTAGGTCCATAGGCCCACATGGCATACAAAGCAATTTTACAAAAAGAACCTTACAAGATTTAAATTTCTACTAATGAAAGTCCTTACGCCTAATGAAGTGGCTAAATAGCCGGGGCACACATGTCGGTGACTTGGCGGCTAGGGAAGCAGAGGCAATAGGAGGGCAACGGCGACCAATGGCGTTCGCGGCGGCGTATTGGCTTGATCATTTTTGGGCGTCTTTCTCCTGGGACGTAGGCGACGTCGGTGGCGCAATGGCTCGGCCGGAGATGGTTCGAGTCGACGGGAATGACGAAGTGGGGCGATGGCGGCGCTATGGACACCGGGAATGCCGACGAGCATATCACTAACTGTTCGATCTATGCCAAAATAGAAACAAAGAAAATGGATTGATTAGGTAGAGAAGGAACTTCACGTTCCCATGGTTGGAGTGCGGTGAAGCTCACCAGAGAATACATGCGATGGATGAAACTCCTTCAGGTGAAAAGAGTAAGTGGAAGTTCTTGGAGATTCCGAGGTAGTTTTTGGTGGTTTGCATAGTGGAACACTGTGAGAAATAGATGAGGTTCACAGTGGCGAGTTGGCTAGATTAATGACTACTACAGGGACCCTTTTAGATTCCGTGCAGGCGGCAACTCGTTGCTTCTGGGAAAATCGGCTCATTTTCACGTGCGGTCCTTTTAAGAGGATGGCACGGAAAAATCGATTTTTCCGTGCGGTCCTCTTAAATGGACCGTACGTGAAAATGAGCCGATTTTCCCGTGCGGACCTATTAAGAGAGCCGCATGCAAAAATACTAACTCCCTCTTTTCCCACTCACACACTTTAAAATTTCTCCTTTTTCTCTCCTCTCCCCTCCCCTCAATCCCATTTTCAACTTTAAAATTTCCACGCAGAGCTTCTCCTCTCAGTCCTCTCTCTCTCACGCTTCTCCTCTCCTCTCTCCATTGTCCTCTCCTCTCCTCCCGATGGCGGCAGCGGCGGCGGCGCGCGGCGACAGCCGCGGTGGGCGTAGGCGCGCGCCGGCTTCCTCCACGTTGTGGCGGTGGAGGGCGTGGGATCCGGCGGGCGGCGGCCGTCCCTGCACGGATCCAACGGCGGCGGCCATCAACGCAAAAATCCAGCGGTGGCGGTCGTCCCCGCACGGATACGGCGGCCGGCCGCCCTCCCCCCGCGTGGCATCCAGCTCCCCTCCCCTCCTCTTCCTTCCCTCCCTAGATCCGGCGGAGGGGAGGGGCGTCGGCGGCGGTGCGGCCGGAGGGGAGCACAGATCCGAGGCGAGCGGCGTGGAGGCCGCCGCTGACGATGATGATGACGACGAGGAGGCGGCAGCGGCAAGCAGGAGCGGCGGCGCCACCACCAGATTCTAGGGTTTCATTTTTAAAGAAAGTTTATGTTTTTTCGGGTTTTTGTTTTCCCGTGGGGGTGCGCCACCTGCACGCAAAAATCGTCATTTTCCCAGACCCCTAAGTGCATGCGGGCCGTTTACCGGCACGCAAAAATCATTTTAGCCCTGACACAAAAATCTTGGTTGTAGTAGTGAATGGTGAAAGTGAAGGTGGAAAGTGAGAGCTAGGTGTCAACACGAGGGGTAGAAACGATTTAAAGGAGTTGGCAGTGATTTGACGCTGTGATCCCACTTGTACTTCACTCAACCTAGCATGAGTGGCTGTCTAGTGGCCCCTTGTAGATGTTTCCTATGAGAAGATGAGAGGTATGGTGAAGTTTGGGTGTAAATTGGACTTTAACTCCCTCTCTCTCTCTCTTTCTTTCTCTCTTTGAAAATATAATTTAGGATCAAAGAGATGATTCACCAAGGTTTTTTGCTGTGTTTGGACGACAAATGGGCCCATATATAGATCTTTCCTAGAAGGCTTGGAGTGGTAGAGTGGCATTTTGAGTGGAAATTGAATTTAAACCGTTCTCTCACCTTTTGAGAAATAAAAAAAAATTAAATGAGAGAAGAGCAGATGATGTGTTGGCTATGGTTGTATGATGAGTGGGCCCCACAAGGACTTGGTCCCACATTTAAGAGAGATGTAGAAGGAGAGAACTAGAAGCTCTAAATTTTCCATGTGTTGGCATTATCACACTAAACTATATTACTCTCTTTCTCTCATACATTTAATTTAGAATTAGGGGGGTGGGTGGGGGGGGGGTGGGGGACAGGGAGACGGCAAGGTAGACAAGGATTTGATGGTTCAAGGTGCCAAGTTCCAAAGTTTACGTAATTTATGGCTCACATTTCATGTGGTTACATTTTGAATTAGACTAAGCCATTGCACCAGATGGTAAAGTATGTTTAACATTCTGACCTTGAGATTTTGCTAGAGGAGTTATGGTTTAATTTTGGTGAAGGTGCAAACTAGGCTAATTGGTATGCTGTTTCCAGATTTTTAGCTGTGTTGAAGGATTTATTTGGGTTATCAATTGATGTGATAAATTCAAACTAAAATTGCTGGGAGCTTAGGGTGTTGTTTAGTATTTATGAGAATTTTGGTGGGATTTATTGTTGCTTCATTTATTTTTAGGAATTTTCTTTAGACAAAGCATGCATATGCAACCTATTTAAAATCCTCTTCCTACCTTTTGGCTGAAACCATGGCTGAAACCAAGCCAACTCCTATCCCTCTCCACGCAGGCCCAAAGGCCAGCCGGGTAAAGTCTATCTCTTTTCCCTCCCCTCCCTAAAACGAAGCCAACAAGTCTAGTTTACATCGGTCTACGAAAGAGCCCCAGTCCACCCCTGCCTCTGCCGATGTCGTTGGTGCTGATAGATGCGATGCCCACACCTCAGGGATTCGCGCGCCGTGGTGTGCAGCCGGTGAATCTTCTGCCGCCTCCTGTCCTTCCGTTGTCTGACGAGGAATGGTTTTAATTCTCCTCCGATTTCCCCCATTGCTACATAAGTTAGTGATTCATTGGTAGATCTGCTTGTGGTTGAATGTACAAGGATGCTTGGTAGATCTGACTGATGTTGAATGTGCAAGAATGCAAGAATGAATGGAGTGAACTAAAGCATATGTCCTGGTATGCATATTTCAAAGTACTGCGCATATGTGTATTATACCATATTGTATTATGTACTTATGCTATGAAATTATATGTGGAATCCTCCACTGCATATTTTCTCTTGGTTAATTAGTTTAGGAAAAATTGCAAATATGATCTTGTGAGAATTTGTAAAGTACATAGAAGGCCATTTGTTTTGACAATGAAGTATGGTTTGTTGTTTGTTGATTTAGATCTCCGTAATACTGCCTAAATTTAAATGTATGTTTGGTGAACTGAAATTAGATATGGTTAGTGCTGTCATAATTTTTTAATGACTATTTGTCCTTGTGAGTAAGGTTGCCATTCCTCGGCTGTATTGCCTTTAGCGTGGCTATATGTCTCCCAAGACTAAGAATACAAGGAATGTGATAGCAGCCGAGAAATTGACCATGTTTCCTCCCCCCTCCCTTTGCTTTCCTAGTAGGATTCGGAATACTCTTTGGCATGACAATCTTAATTATCTCCCATAGTCTAAAACTCACAAAAACATCAGAAATCCGCTAAGAATAAATTAAGTAAAGAACATGCACACACAAATAATAATAATCATGTTGCATTAAATTGCTAAGGTCAGAGACCAACAGATGACACATTGGATAGTGCTATGGCCTTATTAAAAGTAGCAAGAGAAATTAAATATGCTTGTGAGCGCACACATGCACGACGTACAAATAGTTGGGACCAACAGATGGATCGACTATAGATCGCTCCATATGGTCAACAATTTATTGGAGATAAACATTAACATAACTTGGCCATAACTTGAAGCAAAACAACATATTCTTATGAAAGGCATTAAGACTGGTAGCAATGCGAGTATGTTGTTTTAGGCTTGTCCTTCCATCTTAGCAAGAACTCCCATTTCGTCCATCTTAGCAACAACTGTGAAATTAAAATATGGAAATCACATTAGCGCATTAGTTAATTAATTTTGTAGTGGAAGTAGAGCATTAATTGTCTTCATGTTGCAAGATATATGCCTGAAGTTGTCAGATGGGATGTGAAGTCAACAAACTATATTGATGAAAATGCATGGAAGGCCACACATATGTATTAGTCCACGATATGCTACAAAGTCTGTATCTACATATAAGAAGTGCATTTAAAAGAGTGACTTCAGTGAATTTACCAGAATCGGCCAGAATACATGGGAAACAACAAGTGTTCTTGCAGACTGAGTCGGAGCCACCAGCAGCAATACAACCAAAACAACATGCTTTTGCCCGAGAGGATACACTACACTGGCCAAGGTCACCTGTGACGGGCCCAAACCCTCATCTTTGACGGCTTCGCGCATGGTCAGTGATCAGTGGTCACTGGTGAGTCCAGTCACCTTTGACGGGTGGCCGGCCGTCACAGGTGACACCCACCTCTGACGGGCAAGTTACTAGAAGGCCGTCAGAGGTGCTGGTCTCCGCTAGCCTAGGGCGAGTTAGGACCCGTCACAGGTGACTCATCTCTGACGGCCCTTTAAATAAAGGCCGTCAGAGGTTGAGGTCTCCGTAGTTAGAAGCTGTCACAGGTGATCTACCTGTGACGGCCCCAAAAGTAAAGGCCCGTCACAGGTAGGTCACCTCTGACGGGCCTTTATTTGCTAGTCCGTCACAGGTTAGGTTACTTTTGACGGATTTTTGTTCCGACCCGTCACTGATGAGTTAATTCCAGAAAAAAAAAATGCTAAATATTGGCTAGCCTCAGGATTTGCTAGCCATGCCCTCTGAAACACAGATACATTACAGATATATTCTAGTCACAGATACATCACCCCCCCAATATAACATCACAGATCCATCTCAAACATCACAGATCCCCAACAACACATATATGCAGTTCAAATGCCACAATTTTGCACAGCAAATTCACACCCCTTGAAAGCCACAATTTCGGTCGTTGCTCATAGAACCGCATATATACTTACCAAATGGATTAAAGCCATAATGTACTCGACCTCCACAACCTGTCAATAAGGGAAAAAAAAGGAGAAAACAGATGAATAGTACAACATAAATCGTAGTTGATCAAATGTGATGACAATTTAGTAAAGTACCATAAATATTGCACATATGAAAGTAAATTACATTGCACTCTATAAAAACATAATTTTTTACATCGCCAGAAATTATAAAAACATCTTTTTTACATCACAATAAATTATCTAGCCAAGTTCATGAGTCTATTTGGCATGAAAACGTCCTTTCTTGTTCATTATTTCTGCAAGAATAAAGGCGCACACTTCGCCTCTGATAGCGGGGGGGGGGGGGGGGGTTGATGGGTGAGATCTTGAAGCCAGCTCTACCTTTCTGTTTAATAAATAAGAGGTTAATTAGCACGTTTTGAATAGCAATGTAGATATTGAAATGAGCTTATTCGCCATTAGCAACAACCTCAGGGTCGAAATCTTTCACCTCTCTTAGAAGTGTTGACATGTTGTGGCACACGTGGAAACCACATTGGTCTCCGATCTGTTTTGCGCATGCAAACTTGGTGTCATGATAAAGTTCGTTCTTGCCCTCCTTGTGCCTACCACCCTTTTCCACATATGGGCCCCAAGCCATATTTAAGGCCTTGGTGATTTCACTGAAATCATAATCTTTGGACTTATTGGAGTTAAGGTAGGTAACCCTACTCCACTTAGGTACGATGACTAGGAGAATCCAATGTCGCCTGCGCAGTGGTTATGTAGCGTTAGTACTAAGAACCTTAACTTCAAAAACAATATACACGAAGGGTATTGTCCTCTTACTCTTGGTTGTGTGCGCACATGATGTACTCCTTGTCTTGATGGGCCCATAAACACCGGTTGACATAGTCAACCACCTCAGTGAAGCTCTGTCGTAAATTAACCTCATTCACCATGGATGGATCAAGGAACCCAACCTGATTACCATGGCGACGACTCTCGATCCAACACAACCTTAAAATATTTACGTATTAGAACTAATTTAATTAGGAGATATAGTCCAGTCATATCACAAGTATAGAAGGTATGCACTTACAAGGAGTAGCATTTTAGAAGACCAGTGTCCAACTTCCGGATCCTGAAAAGGTCGAAGAGGTCATCAAAACCTATAGTTATATAGGCAGGCGACGATAGGAACGGCTGGTGGTCGTGATGTCCAACTATGGATGACTCCCTCATTTTCCGCTTGGCATTGCTTAGCTCCATGTATTGCTTATGTAGCTCTCGGCAAGCAATACCCATCACAGCTAACACATTGTCCTCCACCAATGGCATGCCTAGCTCAAATTGGGCTGGCGCCCTCACGACCTTCCCCGATTTGCTCACCGGCACCGACGTCGCAGCCTTGCCCCTTTTTGGCTCCGGCGCCAACTCCCCGACCTTCCCCTTGCCGCGTTCACGCTTCTGGCCCTTGACAAGTGGTGGGGAGCTATCGGCCTTTCTTGTGGTCTTTATTGGAGCCAAGCTTTGAGCTATATCTGCCAAGTCCATATCAGCTCCACCGGGAGAATGAGGTACTGACAATGCCGGTCCACGGGGAGCCTCAATTGATAGCTTAGACTTGGGAGGTGTAAGCTCCGTCGGTCGACTTGGACGAGGAGTCATCTTCACAACTATGTCTTCTTTGGGCCATTGTATGAACGTCTTGCGCGCATCGCCCAAAGTCATGATTTCATCATTTGGGGGCACGGGCAGCGGATAGCCTGACCAGGTGTCCTTTACTGTATCGATGGACACCTTGGCATACCCAGCTAGCAGGTCTGCGCCGTGGACCTTGTCTGTAACCGAGGGCTTGAAAGCCATGCCCTCAGCGACTTCAGGAGCGAAAGTTGGGTGGACTCTCGCTAGTAGGACACACTGTGCTGCACCCTGCATAAGGTGAAAGTTTGAATTTAATATTGGAATGTGTACATGTCTTTTATTAGATATGGATCGGATAACAACAATTACCTCGATGTGGTCCACTGCAGCTAGTGGTGCGATCGGGAGACCAGGGGCCGGCACCTCTGTGGATGCACAACTACTCCTATGCTGTGATGGACTCGCGTCGTGTTGTACACGAGGAGTTGGTTGCACAGCAGGTGTTGTGACTCGGGGTATATTCATGTCGGCGAGGACCTTGTTAACCCTTTCTTCCACCCTTGCATTCATGCTAGCTTCTAGTTCTTGAATGACCTCAACCTTAAGTTCGGCCTTCAAACGAGCGTCCCTCTCTTCCTTGGAGACTTTTCGTTTCCTGTATTGGGATCTATACTGAGGGAGTCCATGCTTCCAGGGCACATCGCTACCAATTCCCCGAGTTCGGCCAGGATGTTTTTTGGTTCCGAGCGCCTTTGTGAGGATGTCATCTTCGCGCCTCTTCGGCGCGGACTCAACCTCGCTTTGTGAAGCTTGTTCAGCAACCAAGCCCAACTAGAAAAGAAGATAGTCGTTTATACGAACTTGTACTTTATACGAACGGAAATTAGTTAGGTTAAGTAGTGAACTCACCAGTTCCTGATAGACGACGGCATCACTTTTGTTCTCAAATGTGACAGAGCCGTCCGGGTTGACCTTACCCCTTGCCCGCGCCCAGTTGCGAGCTCTTTGTTCAGGGATGGCTGAAAACGGGGCAGGGACATTCGCTGCTGCAGCGGCTGCATCTTCTTGTGCCCATATTGCCTCCTTGCCGATGTACCCTGCGGTGCCCAGCCGATGCGGGTGCTCATTCCGCTGTTGCAGTAGGCGATGTGCCTCGCTTGATTCCCTAAACTCTTGGGTGGTCTTGAGAGAGCAGAATTCCTCCCACACCGCTTCGGTTATTTGAGGGTATTCATCGAACGGCGTATGATTGCCGGGCGGGTTGACAAACTCGGTGAAGAGCTTCGACTTCCAATTCTTCCAAGCTTTGCCCATCTTTTGGAATGCCTTCCGCTTGAGCCTATCCTTTGCTTCGGCTGGAAATGTGAACCATTTCTCCATTGCCGTCCAAGCTCGCTCTTTCTCGGCTTCTGTGACCTTCCCGATATCTTTATGGAGGATCCCGAAGTTCTCACGTGCCGCTAGCCCGCAGCAGTTAGACCATCTTCCAATGACAGTCCTGGGCGCCGTGGGCCTACCACTAGCGTCAACCTCTCTTATAACTTGCACTGTGGTCGGCCATATATTTTGTGACCGCGGATTTCTACTAGACCTACTTGCACTTGTCCCGCCCGACATCGACGTATGTTGTTCCTGCGGCAATTCTGCAGCACAAACAGAAGGCAATATTTGCTAAGGGGTGCTAGCTAAAATTTATGTGGTCATGTGGTGAAAATTTATCCTATAGATTACCATGAATTTCGGGTTGTTGGACCGCCGTTGTCGCGGGATGACCTTCGGCAACTGCCTCTGTGGCTGGGTTTGCTTCTTCCTGGATCCTCGCAGGTGTTGGGGAGGGCGGGTTTGCGCCGGGCGTTGACATGGTTTAACTTTCGCGAAAAAGATTATAAATTTCCTACCATTAGACTAAATAGCATTAGATCCAATGTAATACGGGGTATACTATGAAAGATATGGCCTCAGTTTTGCTGAGAAATATGCATAAATTACAATCATTTGCATGAAGGGATAAAAAGAGGAAATCAGCTACTAGGAGGAAAAAGCAACCCAAAGAAAATAGAACAAGTGTAGTTCATCTGTTCTTATCCATAAAATAGAACAAGTGTAGTTCATCTGTTCTTATCCATAAAGAAAAGAGCAAGTCCAGGAAATTAGAGCAGTAGCAACAGCATGGCCATATAATAGCAGCAATAAGAGCAGTAGCAGGGCCATATAACAGCAGTAGGGGTATATATGCCACAGGGGCAGCAACAGCAGGGGGCGATTCACATAAACAGCAACAGCAGGGTGGAAATTCACATAAACAGCAACAGCAGAGGGAAATTCACATAGACAGCAAGGGTATATAAATCAACAAGTGTAGATAATCTGTTCTTATCCATAAAGAAAAGAACAGGTATAGATAGAATGTTATTAAGCAATTCATCCTTGGCCATTTAACAAGAAGTACAGGGGCAACAACAGCAGTGGTATATAAATCATGCATATATTATTGTAGATAAAAAAATGAACAAGTGCAGAAAATCTGTTCTTATGCATAAAAAGAGAGCAAGTGCACAAAATCTGTTCTTATGCATAAAAAAAGAACAAGTGTAGAGGTATATAACCACTCTACACTGGCCATTTAATAAGGAACAAGTGAACAAGTGGTGGGGCAAAAAAATGAACAAGTGTAGATAATCTGTTCTTATTGAGCAATTC